CTGCAGCAATCACCGAGGCATCACACTGCTCAGTGTACCAGGCAAGGTTCTCGCCCACATCCTTCTGAGACGTATCAGAGACCATCTACTGAGGCACCAGAGACTGGAGCAATCCGGATTCACTCCTGGTAAGTCCACAATAGACCGTATCCTCGCGCTTCGAGTCATTGTAGAGGCGCCGTCGTGAGTTCGGGCGTGGGCTGCTTGCAGCCTACATCGACCTCAAGAAGGCGTTCGATACGGTGCATCGGGAGTCACTTTGGGAGATCCTGAGGCTGAGAGGAATACCAACAAGGATTATTGGACTAATAGCAAGCCTGTATACTGGTACTGAAAGTGCTGTAAAGTGTGGTGGGGGCCTGTCGAGCTTCTTTCCTGTTAGTTCAGGAGTGAGGCAAGGCTGTGTCCTTGCACCAACTCTTTTCAACACTTGCATGGACTGGATACTGGGCAGAGCTACTGTTCAAAGTCATTGTGGGGCAACGCTGGGCAATATCAAGGTTACAGACCTTGACTTTGCTGATGACGTTGCCATTCTATCTGAGTCTTTGGAAACCCTAGTGGCGGCTCTCGATGCATTTAGCAATGAAGCGAAGCCCCTGGGTCTAGAGGTCTCCTGGACCAAGACCAAGGTCCAGGAATTTGGGGACTTGATAGGAGAACCTGTTCAGTCGGTACGTGCTTGCGGCGAGGACATTGAAGTCACAGAGAGCTTTACATACCTTGGTAGTGTAGTTCATAACTCTGGGCTGTCAGACCATGAAGTCAGCAGACGGATTGGCCTGGCAGCAGGGGTCATGAACTCTCTCAACAAGAGTATTTGGAGATGTCGGTACCTGTGCAGAAGGACCAAGCTTCGGGTTTTCAAGGCCCTGATAATGCCAGTTTTGCTATACGGTAGCGAAACCTGGACATTGTCCTGTGCCTTGGAGGCTCGTCTTGAAGCCTTTTGCAATAGGTCCTTGCGCCAGATCATGGGGTACTGTTGGCGGGACCATGTGTCCAACCAACGGTTGCACCGTGAGACTGGCACAAGCCCTGTTATCTGCACAATCCGTGATCGCCAACTCAGGCTATACGGCCACCTGGCTCGCTTTCCTCAGGATGATCCTGCCCATCAGGTCGTCTCTATTCGAGACAACCCTGGGTGGAGGAGGCCTGTGGGACGACCGAGGAAGTCATGGCTTGGGCAGATCGACCAAACCTGCCGTGAAGAACTAGAGATGGGCCGAGTCCCTGCCTGGCGTCTAGCCATGAGGGATCCTCGTAGGTGGAAGCGAAGGGTGGATGCGGCTATGCGCCCCCGTCGGCGTCAGCCCCCATGATGATGATGATGATATATATATATATATATATATATATATATATATATATATATATATATATATATATATGCACACACACATGTATATAATATATACAAACACATATTCATAACATATATACAGAGAGAGAGAGAGAGAGAGCCGCTTTCTCACTATCTATCTTTTTCATCGTCTCTCTCTCTCTCTCCACCCCCCCCCACCTCTCTCTCTCCTCCTCCACTTTCTTCTCTCTCCTCCCCCCCTCCCTCTCTCTCCTTCCTCCTTCTCTCCCTTCTCTCCCTCCTTCAATCTTTCCCCTTCCCTCCTGTAACAGTAGACTCTCATCACAGGGTTTTGGCTCACATTACACCAAGGGTAGAATATTATGCAGCAGTTTCTATGTAGGTTCACATTTTATTCAACCTGTAAACAATATATTTCAAAATAAGAAATGACAAATGACAAGTCAATGAGCACACAGATAAATAAATAATTAAGAGGCCAAAACTTTGGAGAATTGTTCAAAATAAGTGATTAAACTTTCACATACAGGGAACCAGCACACAGTATCTTCCAAGAAAAAATCAGTAATAATCTAGAATCACGGTTCCAAACACTTACACCATGGCACCTCGCCCCGGAATGATGATGATGATGCTATACAAGATATCTCTCCCAAACTCAGTCGTTCCATGCCCGTCAGTCATCAGGCTGCACAAAACCAACATAATACCATATAGCCTTCTATAGAAAATGACAGTTGAAAATCCCAACACTGATATTTAAATTTCCTCAATCCACGATAAATCATTATGTCAGGCCACCAAAATCTAGAATTTCATGAATCATATACTCAAGAAAAAAAAAAAAAAAAAATAAAGAATGTTCCACCTCATATCTATGAAACAAAAATTGACAATTTCAACACGTCTCATTCAGAGGCAGCCTTCGCGTGTCCTGCTCATTTCAGCTTGTCAACAACGTTTCCTCGTAACAAAAGAAACTTACAATGCGCAATTTTTTCCGCAACTAAACAATATATCTTCATTAGAACTTAAATTTGACAATTCTTCGTATACAACTAAATAACAAACACAATAATATGTCATAACGTGATAATCCTAAAATTAATACATTTCTAATATACACAATAATAACATAGGTTCCAATAATATTTACAAAGGTGCACACATTCATAATTCCCTATTATTTCCATAATAAATACACTTCCCTCTCTCTCCTTCCCTCCCCTTTCTCCCCTCTCTCCTCTCCCTCACCTTCGGAGACACCTCATCCAGCGGCCCGTCCTTCCGCCGCTCTGTCCAGCAGGAACTTGGCTGCCGAGAGCCCGTATCTGAAGAACTTTCCCCGAGGAAATTTGTTCGCAAAGGGGAGGTTCCGAGGGCGAGGAAGGCTGCCAGGCCCTCGCACAGGAGGACGGGCAAGGCGCAGAGGCCGTGCGTGCTCAGGGAACGCGCCAAGTGTTCCGTCGCCAGCTTGACCTGATTTAGTAACAGTATTTATATATTCGAACATACATACATGCATGTAATGTATATATAAATAAATAAATAAATAAATAAATAAATATATATATATATATATAATATATATATTATACAGATATGCATATATGTACACAAACACACCACACACACACACACACAACCAACACACACACACACCACACAACACACACACACACACACACAAACACACGCTCACACACACACACGCAACACACACACACACAACCAGCATACAACACAGCCACACACACCCACACACGCAGCATACCTACCCTCTTTGCAACTCTCTCGGGGAAAACTTGATCAAGATCGAACGCTAATCAAAGAAGCCGAAGTCGACCAGGTGCCACAGGTACACAGGGAGATAATAGATGACGATTTGCAGCACCAACACGAGGGGGACCCACTGGCAGCAGGCATGGCGCTGGCGGTCCTCTGGCGAGTCCTGTGTGGTGAGGGTCCTGCGCCAGGCTGGGCTGATGCCTGCGCTGGAAGTGAGGCAGGAATTTGGTGGTGATTCATGGAGTGGAAGGATGAGAGGGAGAGGGAGAGAGAGAAGGAGAGGGAGAGAGAGAAGGAGAGAGAGAGAGAGAGAGAGAGGGAAAGAAAGAGAGAGGGAGAGAGATAGGGAGGGAGGGAGGGAATGAAAGAGAGAGAGAGAGAGGAAGGAGAGAGGGAAACAGAGAGAGAGAGAGAGAGAGTTAATTTTTTTCTTTTTTTCTTTTTCTCTTTTAGAAGGATGGTTTGGTACGTAGAGGAAGGGAGGATCAGGCACAATAGGTTGATACTTGTGTTGAAAATAAAGGTCTTATACATTAAAGAAATTGTGGAACCCACTCTTCGAAGCGCAGAATCCTCCACTAAGGAATAATAATAATAATAAAAATCAACTGGTATACCCAAATAAAACAAGAGAATAAAGACATTGCATTTTTTAAAGTGACAGTCCTAAATCTACTTCAAGATTTCCTACAATCATGAAGATTCTAGAATAAGAAAATTGTGTTAAGAGCAGATTTTGCGTCACACAATTTCTTTAAGCATACGACCTTAAGGCTCAAAATGATATTCAAAGACGGAGGGAAAAACAGGGTATAAACAGCTTTTGATTAAGGGAGATAATATGATACACAAAAGTATTTGCAATAAGAGAGGATAACGTTCTAAAAATGATTTAAGGATAGAAAGGACAAAGTACAAAGGAGCGTTTAATCTAAAGAGAAAAAAATATGGATAAAATTGTCTGATTTTAAGGACAATGAAATACGAAATATTTGATTCAATGAAAAAGAAAAAAAAAATGAAAAACAGTATTTGATCTCATCTTATACATACATACACACGCACACACACAGAAGGAGACAGAGAAGGATGGTTTGGTACACAAACACACACACACACACGCTGTGTGTGTGCCTTATGTTCCGTCCTCTCCGTGCCCGTGACGCACTTGATGACGTCACCGATGTACCCCCTGGCCGTCACGAACACAAAGCCGATGAAGGTGACTGTATCGTTAAAAATGATAATCTTATGTCTTTAGAAAAAAAAATCGTTTGTTTTGAATGTTTGTCCCTGCGCAAGGCGATGCTCTTTTGACCTTGGTTTGGTGGCGGTCGTTTTGGCAGGAGCCTGGATTATTGAAAAGAAATCAAGATTTCCCTGATTATTTGTAATGAACGGTTCTCACCGTATTGTACACAGGTAGATGATTGTTCAAAGTATGCGTGTAAGCAGCAGCGAATAGCAACAATACCGGAAAAGTGCTTTAAAGATAAGAAATATTACTCGAACCAGCCACGTGGATGATGTTAGGTTAACCTGTGAGAAGCAGATGAATTTGACTACACATATTTACATTTAAATCGTTTGATTTTATTGAGATTGAAGCTGTGTTGAGAGAGACAATTAATCCTGAGGCGTGGTATTTGTATTCAAGACACATAGGCTGATTCTGTAAGTGATAAATGTTTTTATTTTTGTATGAAATATTTCTCATTTGTGATATTAGACATGGAGCATCTTTATTTATAGTGTTATTGTGTTAAAAAAAACATCATCTTGAATATTGAACATACACATACACACACACACGAATATTGAGGACATAACGTTGATGTATAGAATATTGTATCACATGTTATTTGTTTTACAGGTTGAATGATAAGCAATAAAGAAGTTCGTCATAAGGCTGGTTTCTGTGTCTCCTAACATGACAGTGACGTTCTTCGAGACTTTCAGAGGTGAAGGAGAGAGAGGCGGCTGTGATGACTGTCCCTGGCGGCGAGGGAGAGGTTGCTGGGCGGGGAGAACTCACGAAGAGATGGGGGCTGTGGTGGTGAGTGTGGTGGTGAATGTGACGAATGTGATGATGAAAATGATGACTTTGATGATGAGTGTGGTGTGAATGTGACGAATGTGATGAAAATGATGACCTTGATGAATGTGGTGGTGAATGTGATGATGAAAATGATGACCTTGATGGTGAATGTGGTGGTGAGTGTGGTGACGAATGTGATTATGAAAATGATGACCTTGATGATGAATGTGGTGATGAATGTGACGAATTATTATGAAAATGATGACCTTGATGATGAATGTGGTGGTGAATGTGACGAATATGATGATGAAAATGATGACCTTGATGATGAGTGTGGTGGTGAATGTGATTATGAAAATGATGACTTTGATGATGAATGTGGTGGTGAATGTGATGATGAAAATGATGACTTTGATGATGAATGTGGTGATGAATGTGACGAATGTGATGATGAAAATGATGAATGTGATTATGAAAATGATGACTTTGATGAAGAATGTGGTGGTGAATGTGATGAAAATGATGACCTTGATGATGAATGTGGTGATGAATGTGACGAATTATTATGAAAATGATGACCTTGATGATGAATGTGGTGGTGAGTGTGGTGGTGAATGTGACGAATGTGATGATGAATGTGGTGGTGAATGTGATGATTAATGTGATGAAAAATGTGATGAATGTGATGATGGACGTGATGATGAAACGTGAGGATCCCTGAGGTTTAGATTTAGGTACACTAAAATATTGTTGTTGTTTTTTCTTTCTTTCTTTCTAAGACTTCTCTCTGCCAAAGAAAGAATACAACGGTTATTCTCATAAAGTACTGAGTACAGTGGACGAGAAATAAAATGTTAATAAAAATCAACATGAACATTATTGTTACTGATAATAATAAAGAAATTAAAGCTAATGATTATAATAAAAATGATGATAATAATGATAATAATAAAAATGATGATAATAATGATAATAATAATAATGATAATAGTGATAATGATCATAATGATAAAGATAATGATAATAATAATAATAATAATGATAACAATAATAATAATAATAATGATAATAATAATAATAATAATAATAATAATAATAATGATAATGATAATAATGATAATAATAATGATAATGATAATAATAATAATGATAATAATAATAATAGTAATAATAATAATGACAATAATAATAATAATAATAAAATGATAATAATGATAATAATAATAATAATGATGATAATGATGATGATGATGATGATGATGATGATGATGATGATGATGATGATGATGATGATGATGATGATGATGATAATAATAATGATAATAATAATAATATAAATAATGATAATAATAATATAATAATAATAATATATAATAATAATAATAATAATAATAATAATAATAATAATAATAATGATATGAATAATAATAATAATAATATAATAATAATAATAATAATAATAATAATAATAATAATAATAATAATAATAATAATAATAATAATAATAATAATAATGATAATAATAATAATGATAGTAATAATAATATTAATAATAACAATAATAATAATAATAATAATAATAATGAAAAATATTACACTTACCGAGGAGCCTTTTGTTTTTTCATTAATTCACTTAATAGTGAAATCATGTTGGCGAATTACAGTTCTGAAAAAAAAGATTAGTGCAACAGGCAGCGCAATCGCAGAGCACAAGGCGACTGCAATATCTTATCATGAAGTGAAGACATGATGCTCATTATCTTTACTGCCTCAGATGTATCTATTGTACATACATGATTATACATACATGCATACTTACACTCACACCCATATACATTTATATCGTTGTGTGTGTGTGTGTGTGTGTGTGTGTGTGTGTGTGTGTGTGTGTGTGTGTGTGTGCATGTGCGTGTGCATGTATGTGTGTGTAAGCGTGTGATCAAAATGACCTCAACGAGAGCGATCAATTATTTCCTTGGTAGTTGTTCCAGCGCCAAAGGGAAGTTCGGAGCCATTCTGTTCAACAACGGCAAGCACAAGACCATGGTTATATGACGAGACTTAATAACTGTTTTGAATACACATTGGGTTGCTGCAGCTTGTCTTATAGTATAGTAATTTGCACTCCATAATGCCAGGAGTGATAATAACTTCCGGTAGTTATTGGAACTGTTTTAGCATTGTAATTTAGGAGGATGTATTTGTATTAATAATGCTATGGTTGTGGTTATAGATTGAGTCCACAGCGAGTGTCTTATTGTAATGCCTATTGGTAAGAGCTTAATAAGTCTGAATATTGATAATACAGCTGTTGGTGTGACCGAATAGATAATTAACTTAATCCGATGTTATTCATAGTCTGTATTTATAGCAATGAGAATAAAATGGAAGACAAAGAGGATAATATAAAACCTTTTTTGTGTCAGCTGTTGATATCAAATGGAACATCGGGGGCTTCCCACATGTGTATTTTAACTTCCACAAACAATTCTCATTATACGCTATTTATATACAGAGATCTTTCTAACCTGTGCGTTTGTCCCCGTCGTCTCTGAAATACGAAACAGACTGATAGAGTCATTGCAGTCACTAATACGATATCAAATGTTCACATTCAACACGCAACAGCGGCAGAAGAGCTACCCCCCTCCCCCCCTCCCCCCATTTTGATGAAGATTCATATCATCTGATGTCCTCCCCAGGTTGACAGTTAAGCAGATGGACGGTCTATCAAAGATATTATTAGGAATGTGATTGTATACTTTCCTTCTTGAGCTCGCATAGAGTTCATATTTGTCTGATATGATTACAGTTTTTTCGTCTACATTTCACACAAATCACATTAATTATCTCCATTATGTCGGCGTCTAATGCAAAAAGAAAAACAATCATAACTTTTATCAACAACATATCAGTATCATTGTATTTTCTTGCTTAACTCTAATAAACCACAAACAATTTTTTACAGTTTAGATAGCAGGGTCTTCTGCACCAGGGGCAAGCAACGTGTGAAATTTGGATCTTTCTGCAACCGACTTCACTGATCAGGGGGGCCGTCGCAACGAAAATTTTCAAAAATACTCGAAAAAAAATGTAATCTAGTGGGCTTTGGCAATTTCGTGACGTAATATTTTTGCTAAATATGTAAAATTAAAGAAGTTATGACTAAATCTCTGCCCCCCCCCCCCCGCTCCCCGCTCCGATGTTTACATTGTCGCGTCCGTGAAAATTTACTCGACAAATTTGTTGTTTTTCGTATTCTTTTCGGTTTATTTTGGAATTGTCTGGTAGCTAGCTGGCAACTCTGTTTGCCCATCAGCTGATCGCGAAGACTGCGGCTCTGGGAGACAAAACTCCGACAGAAGATCAGAGAGAAGGGTTGCCAGCGCCTAGCTCCATGACACCATACCGCAGACGTACGGCCTCATCGCACAGTAAGGGTACACTACGAATTGTAGATGCTAGTTTAGTATGTAATAGACGTAATATGATAGGAAATACTTCTAAATCACAGCTGCAGCAGTTGTTTAAACATTTAAATACCTCACGCCGTCAGGTTAGGCCTGACAAGCCATGTGCTCCTACGGGAATTTCTACAATCATTTGCAGTTATTACCATTAGTGCTTTGCAAAAGGGGGGGCCATGTACAAGCTACATTTCAGAATACCATGTGAACGCAGTAGAATGCAGCAAGATTGCCGCAGAGATTAGAATTCTAAAATAATAATAATAATAATAATCCGAGGGAAATCCAAAATTTCGGAGACCGTTATCTCAAAACTACACTTCTGTCAACATTTGTCAGCATTTTAAAAATTCATTCATAAATACTTGGGCGATTCTAATGGGGTTTGGATCATTTGAAAGCTGGATATATTTGCGATGATTTTCTGAAAGAAAATTTTATTTTTAGTAGTCCATATATCATATCTTGATGTTCAAAAGACTAGACATTTAGAAACCCCCCCACTAAACTAGAACGAAATTTAAAACTATATTGCTATAGACTGTAGGTGGTAATTTTTTCAACAAATTTGTTCAATGGATAAATGCCATTTTTAAGAGGCTCTGATTGTTCAAAAACTGGTTTTTCGTTAATAACTTTATTATTTATTAGCCGAATGTTACGAAACTTGGTGGTGTTTATCACTTTATATTTATGTATAATATCCGATCATAAGTGACGAACTTTGTTCTCGAGCGCGACGCCCCTCTTCAACTTTGTCATCATATATACGGCAATTGCATTTCATTCGCAAAATACGGTGTATTAAAAGTATTACTAAAATGTAATGGAATGGTTCTTGGGATCATTATACTCCCTGTTGACTGAACATGTATGCTAATTTATCATTCTTGATGGTATCACTTATGGAACATATTTTCACACACGAAATTAGAAATAACTGAATGAATAAATGAATGGATAAATAGATGAAGAGAATAGCCAATTAAAATCCAAAATAGAATGAAAAGTTCAGCGCGACACTTCACGATAACGAATGACACAGAGACAGGCCAATCTACATTGCAGCAGGATTGATGGTGAACAAAGTATTGGAACCAAATTTATTATTTTCCTGGTCACTTCTCCCTCCTCCCCCCCTCCTTATCAGCAAGCCCTCCCCTCCCCCTCCCTCCCCTCTTATCTCAAAGCCCTCCCCTCCCCTTCCCCCTCCTTATAGCAAGCCCTCCCTCCTCACTGCCCTTTACCGCTCTCTAACCCCTTTCACTGCCCTCAACCCCTCTCCAACCCTTTCTACTGCCTCAACCCCTCTCCAACCCCTTCCACTGCCCTCAACCCCTCTCAACCCCTTCTACTGCCCTCAACCCCTCTCCAACCCCTTCCACTGCCCTCAACCCCTCTCCAACCCCTTCTACTGCCCTCAACCCCTCTCCAACCCCTTCCACTGCCCTCAACCCCTCTCCAACCCCTTCCACTGCCCTCAACCCCTCTCCACCCCTTCTGCCCTCAACCCCTCTCCAACCCCTTCACTGCCCTCAACCCCTCTCCAACCCCTTCTACTGCCCTCAACCCCTCTCCAACCCCTTTGCCCTCAACCCTCTCCAACCCCTTCCACTGCCTCAACCCCTTCCACTGCCCTCTCAACCCCTTCCACTGCCCTCAACCCCTCTCCAACCCTCTTACTGCCTCAACCCCTCTCCAACCCCTTCCACTGCCCTCAACCCCTCTCCAACCCTTCTACTGCCCTCAACCCCTTCCACTGCCCTCAACCCCTCTCCAACCCCTTCCACTGCCCTCAACCCCTCTCCAACCCCTTCTACTGCCCTCAACCCCTCTCCAACCCCTTCCACTGCCCTCAACCCCTCTCCAACCCCTTCCACTACCCTCAACCCCTCTCCAACCCCTTCTACTGCCCTCAACCCCTCTCCAACCCCTTCCACTGCCCTCAACCCCTCTCCAACCCCTTCCACTGCCCTCAACCCCTCTCCAACCCCTTCTACTGCCCTCAACCCCTCTCCAACCCCTTCACTGCCCTCAACCCCTCTCCAACCCCTTCCACTGCCCTCAACCCTCTCCAACCCCTTCCACTGCCCTCAACCCCTCTCCAACCCCTTCTACTGCCCTCAACCCCTCTCCAACCCCTTCCACTGCCCTCAACCCTCTCCAACCCCTTCCACTGCCCTCAACCCCTCTCCAACTTACCCTCAACCCCTCTCCAACCCCTTCTACTGCCCTCAACCCCTCTCCAACCCCTTCACTGCCCTCAACCCCTCTCCAACCCCTTCCACTGCCCTCAACCCCTCTCCAACCCCTTCCACAACCCTCAACCCCTTCTACTGCCCTCAACCCTCTCCAACCCCTTCCACTGCCCTCAACCCCTCTCCAACCCCTTCCACTGCCCTCAACCCTCTCCAACCCCTTCTACCTCAACCCCTCTCCAACCCCTTCCACTGCCCTCAACCCTCTCCAACCCCTTCTACTGCCCTCAACCCCTCTCAACCCCTTCCACTGCCCTCAACCCCTCTCCAACCCCTACTGCCCTCAACCCCTCTCCAACCCCTTCACTGCCCTCAACCCCTCTCCAACCCCTTCCACTGCCCTCAACCCCTCTCCAACCCCTTCCACTGCCCTCAACCCCTCTCCAACCCCTTCACTGCCCTCACCCCTCTCCAACCCCTTCTACTGCCCTCAACCCCTCTCCAACCCCTTCCACTGCCCTCAACCCCTCTCCAACCCCTTCCACTGCCCTCAACCCCTCTCCAACCCCTTCTACTGCCCTCAACCCCTCTCCAACCCCTTCACTGCCCTCAACCCCTCTCCAACCCCTTCTACTGCCCTCAACCCCTCTCCAACCCCTTCCACTGCCCTCAACCCCTCTCCAACCCCTTCACTGCCCTCAACCCCTCTCCAACCCCTTCCACTGCCCTCAACCCCTCTCCAACCCCTCTACTGCCCTCAACCCCTTCCACTGCCCTCAACCCTCTCCAACCCCTTCACTGCCCTCAACCCTCTCCAACCCCTTCCACTCCTCAACCCCTCTCCAACCCCTTCCACTGCCCTCAACCCCTCTCCAACCCCTTCTACTGCCCTCAACCCCTCTCCAACCCCTTCCACTGCCCTCAACCCCTCTCCAACCCCTTCCACTGCCCTCAACCCTCTCCAACCCCTTCCACTGCCCTCAACCCCTCTCCAACCCCTTCACTGCCCTCAACCCCTCTCCAACCCCTTCACTGCCCTCAACCCCTCTCCAACCCCTTCACTGCCCTCAACCCCTCTCCAACCCCTTCCACTGCCCTCAACCCCTCTCCAACCCCTTCACTGCCCTCAACCCCTCTCCAACCCCTTCCACTGCCCTCAACCCCTCTCCAACCCCTTCCCCCCCCCCCCACTGCCCTCAACCCCTTCCACTACCCTCAACCCCTCTCCAACCCCTTCTACTGCCCTCAACCCCTCTCCAACCCCTTCCACTGCCCTCAACCCCTCTCCAACCCTTCCACTGCCCTCAACCCCTCTCCAACCCCTTCTACTGCCCTCAACCCCTCTCCAACCCCTTCACTGCCCTCAACCCCTCTCCAACCCCTTCTACTGCCCTCAACCCCTCTCCAACCCCTTCCACTGCCCTCAACCCCTCTCCAACCCTTCTTCTACTCTCCAACCCCTTACTGCCCTCAACCCCTCTCCAACCCCTTCCACTGCCCTCAACCCCTCTCCAACCCCTTCCACTGCCCTCAACCCCTCTCCAACCCCTTCCACTGCCCTCAACCCCTCTCCAACCCCTTCCACTACCCTCAACCCCTCTCCAACCCCTTCTACCCTCAACCCCTCTCCAACCCCTTCTACTGCCTCAACCTTCACTGCCCTCAACTCTCCAACCCCTTCACTGCCCTCAACCCCTCTCCAACCCCTTCTACTGCCCTCAACCCCTCTCCAACCCCTTCACTCCTCAACCCCTCTCCAACCCCTTCCACTGCCCTCAACCCCTCTCCAACCCCTTCCACTGCCCTCAACCCCTCTCCAACCCCTTCCACTGCCCTCAACCCCTCTCCAACCCCTTCTACTGCCCTCAACCCCTCTCCAACCCCTTCTACTGTCCTCAACCCCTCTCCAACCCTTCTACTGCCCTCAACC